TATACTTTCCTATTTTTAGTTTAAAAGAAGTATACTAATAGCACACTTGAATAAACTTCTTTTTCGTAAGGGATTACCACCTCTCTACTGAGAAAAGTCATGTAGCTTTTCAGTTGCTAAACTATTTTAATGATAAAGTCGCTGGGCATCGCTGACAGCACGTTGTGTGCGCGCGCGCGCGTGTGTGTGTGTGTGTGTGTGTATCAGAGCATGTGAGCGACTGCGCTCTTAAGGAAATATTACCACTCCGCTCACGCTCCGCTCCGCTCACATGCTCTGGTGTGTATGTATCCGTGTGTGTGCGAGTGTGTGTAGGCTACAGTAGCCTGTGTGTGCGTTTATGAGACAGAGCGAAAGATGTTTTCCATAGATAAAACTTTCGTTGGAAAAATAGTAATTTGTTATATTTATTGGCTTGGTCAGTGTTTTGTGAGTTTTGGTTCTTTTGCTGTTGTAGGCTGCAAGGATCTTTGAAATAACTAAAAATCATTTGGCGAAGTGATATGGAGCTGTAATGCGATCAAGGCCTGCCTGGAGCTACTTTAGCTGTGAGTTTCCTGAAAACTTTAAGAAGAAGAAGAAGAAAACCTTTAATGGCATATTTCATTGTGACAATTTGCCCCTTGTGTTCAACAAACTGTAGGCCTATCTTTTTTTCCTGAACAATAATGGTGCAAATGCTCAATATTCTTTTTCTGAATTTGGCCTGTCATAAACTGACTGTAACTAATTTTGAAATGTGAGTATCAAATATGATACATTAGGCGTTTCAGGAACATGTATTTGCCCATCTCTCAATCATCATTGTATTGCATAGCATTATATGTTTTTGGTCATTAAACTAAGAATTTAAATATCTTCTTTAGCATTTTAGTAGCATTTTAAAGTAATCTGCTACTGTTATAAAGATCTCAATGATTTACTTAACAATCAGAATTTTATCTTACTTTTTGACCATATAAATATCAGCATCAGCACCAAATTGCATATTTTTGTTCAGTTTGGGCCTCTAAATAAAATTAAAACATTATTCCCCTGTGTGAGCTCCGTATCATACTATATGGTCCATTAAAAGCTTGATGTTTCAAATATGATACTTATAGGCTACATTTTTCTGACTGTTATTTCAGGATTTACAGGATTAAGCTTTAGTGAAGTATGGACCTATTCATTTCAGTGTAGACTATTTTATTAAGGTCATGAACTCTATTTCTGAAGAATAAGTAATCACAGAGCCCACAAATCTCAAGAAAATAAAAAAGCGCTCACAAAGGAACGACAAAATACATCTAGGAGTAACCGATGCGGACTATTGCAAGGCTGTTTTATAGCAGCCTCTTCTCATCCCAACCTGGAAATTGTGTTTGCACCCGTTCCCCAAGCTGTCAACACAATTAGACATTTGAGGGGATATTACATAAACTGAATCAAGGTAGTGCAACAAGATAGCAAGCTTACTCATACCATTGTATCATGGAGAAGCAATGTTTTGTCCCTGAAGGTCGTATCCACTCACACTGAGAGTATTTTGGTTTCAGAACCCCTTTTTCTTCTCCCAGTCAGATTTAATGTCATCTTTAAAAAGTTTGGAGCAAAACACAATGCCAGCAGTGTGATGCCAAACATCATGGTTTAAATTACACGGTCTTATACAATATCTCTGTGTTCGCCGGTCACTTAGGCATGCAAAATAAACCATAGTAAAGCTGGACACTTTCTCTGGATCTCACTATTTCCTTAAGACAATGACAGTGAGCAGTCCAAGCAGCCAGAGGCAGGGTTACGTAATCTGTTTTAGCTCATGATTTCACTCGTGGATTAAAGCCATTTGTTTTAGAGTACCATGGCATGTCCATCAAACATTAACACTATAGTGTATATATGCTTATGCACATTAATAAGGGTGGTTAATACTTAAATGAAGGGAGGAGCTTTATAATCCAATCATAATAATATGCTCATCAATCACTGACACTGAGCTTATTGGAAAAAGTTTGAATGTTTGTGAAATTTTAGCAAATCATATAAATAAACTGTTTACCATTATATTCTGAACTGTTTTGCAGACTTTTCCCAGAATCATTTTATGAATGATAAGCTGCATTTGGACAATTTGACCATATTGCAAATTAATGAATTGTCTTTAACTAAATGACGCCCTCTGTTGGAGTTACAGTTTTATTAACCTGTGCTAGACTTACACTATACTTTTCCAAAGTTTGGGGTCAGTAAGATTTGTTTTTGAAAGTATTAGGCTAATACTTTTATTCAGCAGATATGCATTGTAACTGATTACAAGTAAAGTAAATATTGTTTTAATGTTAAGGATTTCTAGTTCAAATAAATGCAATTCTTTTGAATTTTCAATTCATCAAGGAATCCTTAAAAAAGTATCACAGTCTCTGAAAACATATAAGCAGCACAGCTGTTTTTATAATTAATAATAATATAAAGTATAATAAAATAAAGTATTAATAAAAAGGAGTAATCATGCTGAAAATTCAGTTTTGGTATCACAGGAATAAATTACATTTCAAAATGTATTAAAATAAAAAAAACATTAAAATGTAGTATTTCAATATTACATTTTACTGTATTTTGATCAAATAACTGCAGCATAAGAGACTTTTAAAAACATCTTACTGACCCCAAGCTTTTGAATGTTAGTGTACATTCCTTTGCTTCATTTCTGACGTGAATTTTAATAAACAAAGGACTTCAGTGGAACATTATTTTAATAGAAGAACCAAAGGTCAGTGAAGGCCTCTAAGCACATGTAATGCTTTGTCATGAACGTATTCAAGGCGTCTTAATCTTTTTGTCCTTTTTAATTTGAAAGGATCTTCATCTTCATTCAAACACTTTGAAAATCAGCTGTTTCCTATTACAGACCTACAGCAAGTTTTAAGTGAATGCAGTTGCTCATGAAAGAGGGACTGAATCATCAGTTTTATCCGAACTGTCAAGGGTGGTGGGTGAACATCAGGCAGCCTCCAGCATTTGGAATAATAATGAGCAGAATTTAAGCCCGAAGGATTTGATAAACCAAATGTAGTCAAACCATATTTTCATGTTTTATAATCCAGGAACACAGAATTTATAATCACTATAATGTTTGGAGTACACAAAACATATGACTTTTTAATGTGTTTATTTTTTCATTGTAAGTAAAATAGGATAGGCTAATTTTCCTCTTTAATTCATCTTCTGGTATAATAAAAGTGTTGAAAAATATGTTTACATAAGGAATTAGTAGTGTCTAATTTACATTTAATCTACATAACAGGTTCTCATTTGGTGGGAACAAGAAGAAAATTATGTTTTTAAAAGTTCATGTGAACACTTGTTTAAGCTACATTTGAAATAGTGTCCGCATTTACCATGACAATATGCTTCGATTTGTTTGGTTTTAAATGCATTTATGTTTGTTATCAACTAAATGTTAACTATTTCCTGTAAACTTAGGAGAATGAGTTTGTATTACTATAAAATCAACTCATAAAAAAGAATGTGATTTTCGCTCTTGCCTGCGTTCTTCTAGCGCTGTCTAGTGGCCCTTTGTCGCAACAGCAGTCTCTCAATCCCATCCTGCACCGCGAGCACCGCGCCGACTCTGAGTCCGACTCCGAGCTGTCTGTCTGCTGCTGCCAGGGGCGGACATGTTGGGGCGGCCTGCTGGAGGACGGCACCACACATATTTCTGATTTTACCGGAAAAACTGACTGCAAAGCAGAGACGGGACACCATGGATGCCGTCAACGCTTTTAATCATGAGGTGTGTGTGTGTTCAATAAGATGAAACGGCTGTAAAATGGCGGTTTGTTGATCACAAGCGTTCAATGTGTTGCAACGGCCCAAGTCAGATGAAGGCCTCAGTGTTTAAAATGCGCAGTTGCATGCTGCCAGGTTGAATCTAGCTGTTCATACGAAACTGCCCTTTCGTAAATGTTAGTGTAAATGCTTAGATCTGTGTATTATGGTATTTTAAACGCCATAATAACAGGCCTAATCGTGATAATAGACAGCATGGTCTGCAATTGGTCACTTTGCCTGTTGGTTTCGGCTTTTTTCTACGCCTGATCTAACATGTATGAATACACTTCTGTGCTAAAGTTATAAGATGACGTAAGTTACAAACTAACAGTTAGTGCTCGTGTTGTTTACAGTCTGCGCTCTGTGTGTGTAGGTCCTCCAGCGTAACGTTTAAGGTTCATTCAGGGAACATCCATAACCTGTTACAGTTCTTTCTTTCAGGAACTTTATATTGTTTGCTAGTCGAGATAAACAATTGTGGCCGCAAATGGCTAACTTAATTGTCCAAAATTGTGACAGAATAATTGTAAAGGTACCGTATTCCACAAAAACCATCATTTTCTTAATGCCCATGAAGTTTTTGCTCCCAAAACAGTGAAAATGTAGTTGCAAACGACCATTTTCTATCTTTTCTCTGGCCCTTTAAAAGTATTGTTTTGTTACCTGTACCTTTAAGAAACATGCAAATGCATTTCTGTTCATCTAACCTCCGCCTACTGTAGTTCAGTGTTTATCAGTAGTCTTGCTGGATGCGAGTTTATGTAAATTTGGGCGGTTATTTATTTGCAAAGTGTTAAAGTTAAAAAGTGTTCATTTTTCCAAACTTACAGGTGAAGTTTGCAGTTTCTGCACCACAAGCCTCACTAAAACTGAGATACAAAAATAATGATTGTTTTCAATCACGTTTTCACACACGCTTGCTCTTGTGTTATTGGGCAGCCAAATTGATAGTCCCTCCCCCAAATTCACGCCATTGGTTTAGCGAGTATGTCAGGACTGGTCAGGATGCTTAAAGGGATAGTTCACCCAAAAATTTAAATTCTGTTCCAAACCTGTAAGACCTTCGTTCATCTTCGGAACACAAATTAATATATTTTTGATGAATTCCGAGAGAGTCACCCTGGCGCCATTTTGGAGAGTATCACATACGTAAACAACGTATGCTGTTCCATGTCAGCAGCACCGTACACAGATACATTGTTTACGCTTTGATCTGAACGTAAACAACGTATCTGTGTACATATGTTCTTTATGTATGTGATACTCTCCAAAATCGCGCCAGGGTGACTCTCTCGGAATTCATCAAAAATATCTTAATTTGTGTTCCGAAGATGAACGAAGGTCTTACAGCTTTTAACAACAAAGTTGTTATTTTTGTTTTCTTTGCACACAAAAAGTATTCTCGTAGCTGGATTATTTTAACGATGTCCTTGCTACATTTCTGGACATTGATCGTGTTAGGATCCTTGCTGTCTATGGGCGGATCTGAGAGCTCTCGAAATTCGTCAAAAATATCTTAATTCGTGTTCCGAAGAAGATCGGAGGTCTTAAGGGTTTGGAACGACATGAGGGTGAGTAATTAATGACAGAATTTTCATTTTGGGGTGAACTATCCCTTTAAATGTAGTGCCACAGTGCCCGCCCACTTTTTCAGCAGCCTTGGTTCCAGAAGTATTTTTTCCATTAATTTTTCTTAGTCATTTTTAAAAAGTCTTTGTTGGGAGCTAGGAGGTGAATCAAAACATTACAGACCTGAGTAGGTAATACATTTAAATTCAAACTTACTTCACTAACGTTAGAAAAGTATGTTTTATATAGTATAAAAAATAGGTATTATGAATGAAATTTGTTAAATTCACGTGACCTTCCAGCATCAGATGTGTTGCTCCATTGCCATTTATAAATCCTCTCCCGTGGCCTCATGGGATAATAAAGTGTTCATGCACACTTCAGAATCCCGCCAGAAGTAGTAGGTCATCCAGGTACTTCTCGTTTTTCGAATACTTTGAATCGGACATACTACTCTTTTGGTGTACTGTTTTTCGCTTACTATGTAGTAGGGAAGTACACAAGCGCAACTTTAGATTTGATTATGCATTTAGAAACCATAAATTTTAAGTTTCTTGCAAAATATGCATATGTACATATATTAAAATAGGTTGAGAGTGTAGGAAGACTGACTATAACGTCATTCACAGTCCTCCATTGTAAGTGGGCGGGTGTAAGTGGGGAGTTCTTTTGGTGTGGTTTGTTTGATTCTCAGAGTGGAGATTTTTTTTACAGAATGGGTGTTTTGACTTTGCATATTAAGATGAAATATGGGGAAGTATTTCCCCGTACACTTCCCTTTTCCACAAGAAGTTCAGTATAAGCAAGTCTGAATGTGCCATTCAAGGATATATGAGTATTTGAGTCTTTGAATAACCATATTTGTCAACAATATTCTGGTGCATCTGTATTTGTAAATGGTGTCTTAAATTATAAAGGCCTTTTGTTAATCCATACCAAAGCTGTTTTGCTTGACAAGAAGCACAATTTGGTTAATTTTTAATATAAATATTTTTTTAAATATAGTGTTTATAAGCATATTCCTTACAAAAACAGAGATGGGATGAGTTGCTAATAGCATGCTACTTTGAGCCATACTGCTGTATTGAATTCTGTACGTATTTCATGTATCATGGGATTTACATGGTATGTCCATAAACCATGGTGTAATACCACAGTATCTAAAAAACAGCAATATCATGCTACTTTTCATGTTTAGTTAAAATGATATCTCTGCAAAACCTTGACGTTGCTTCCACTCTAACAAGTATTGCCAGCATTTTTAAGATTTCAGTGTGAGCTTACCCATTTATGAAGTTTCTATATTTCACTTCAACCTCACTTGCATTACATGCCTTAACATTACTTTATGGCTTCATTGCAGTTGTTCTCCTTGATGGACACCAAGCCTCCCATCTCGAGGGCCAAGATGATCTCCATCACCAAATCTGCCATAAAAGCCATTAAAGTAAGTTGATCTTGAGGTTGAAGCGCAGTAATCACACCCTTCACAACTGATACCTGATGCTATTGGGTTAAAATATGATACAGTATGTGTGTTTTAGCAGAGTGACACATTTGAAACCCTTCCATTTAATCCTTTTTTCTTTTTTGCGTCTTCCAGTTATACAAGCATGTTGTCCAAATCGTAGAAAAGTTCATAAAGAAGGTAGGTGCATATCTGGTCTGAATTCAAGATGGATGATTGATGTTTGTGTTCATTTACTGAATGCTATCTTGTGCACAGTGCAAACCCGAGTACAAAGTACCAGGGCTATATGTGGTGGATTCCATCGTGAGACAGTCACGGCATCAGTTTGGATCAGATAAAGATGTGTTTGGACCTAGGTTCACCAAAAACATCACAGGAACATTTGAGAATCTTTGCTTGTGTCCCACAGAAGATAGGGTGAGAATATCCAGCAATACGCCTATTTATACATTTTTTTTACAGCTTTTTATTCAGTACTCTTGTTGTATGATTTAAATGATTCTCACTTTATAATGTTTCTCTTCCTTCTTCAGAGTAAGATAGTGAGAGTGCTGAACTTGTGGCAGAAGAATGGAGTGTTTAAGATTGATGTAATCCAGCCTCTATTGGACATGGCTGCTGGATCCAGCAGCTCAACAGGCTTAGACAGCGGCCCTGATGGGGGTAAGACACTGATGTGTAACATTGTGAATATCCTATTTTAATGCACTTCTTATCTGTTACGAGATTTGTTTTGTGATACAAACTTGTCTTTCTGGTCGCAAGTATGAGCAGCAAGACAGTAGCAAATGTTTGGGGTAAGTAAGATTTGTTTTGCGAGAAATTAATGCTTTTATTCAGCTATGAAACTCTAAATTTATCAAAAGTAACAGTATAGAAAGATTCCTATTTCAAGTAAATGCTGTTATTTTGAACATTTTATTCATCAAATAATTAAAAAATATATATATATCAAGGTTTTGACAAAAACAAAACAAGCAGCTGAACTGTTTTGTTGAAAGTTTCTTGAGCACAATAAGCATATTAGAATGATTTCTGGAGTAATGTCTGCTGAAAATTCACATTCACAGGAATAAATAACATTTTAAAATATATTACAATCAAAAACAGTTATTTTAAAAAGTAATAATATTTCACAGTCTTACTGTTTTGCTGTACGTTTGATTAAATAAATGCAGCCTTGGTGAGCTTTTTCAAAAACATAAAAAAAACTTACGGACTCCAAACATTTGAATTGTAGTGTAGATGTGTTAATAGTGTCTCTAATTTAAGCCTCAGTATTAAAATGGTGTTAGAAATTTTTTTCTTTCAGTTAATTAGTTCAAACTGTTAATTGTATTGTATCGACTCAGAACTCTGATTCTGTGATTTGCATGCATCATCAATGAAAATACCTTGTGGGGCATTTGTCTTGTTTTAAAAGGTTTTCCTTTTTACATTTAATTTAGAGTTTCCTACTGACATATAATAAGTTGATTATCAATGTGTTATTGCAGCATCTCCACAGTCTCCGGTGAGGGAACAAGAGGCTCATCCTGTGGTGACGCCAAACTCGATCGCAGCAGCTGTGCCTCCGCTTCAGAACTCAGATGCCTTTGCGGCTGTTGCTCAATTTATTCAGTCTTCTCAAGGACAGCAGGTTAGTCGACTGAATGCACTGGGTTTCCTGCATATCAGTTGTTTGGGAAGGACAAAGCATTTAACACCTTGGGATGATTTTAGCATGAAAAAATAAGAAAGAAATCATGAAATAATTTTAACCCATTCGGGATATTCATGTTCACTGTTTTCTAAAGCTTCAGCAGATGCTTCAGAACTTTCAGCCGCCAGAGAAACCTCAGTCTCCAGCTGTGGACAATAACACGAGTCACCTCCACCCACAGGCCCAGGCTATGACTGCCTCCTCCACCCTCACACATCAGCACATCCATCACGCACCACAGCCTGAGGAGAAGAAAGCCACCTTCGACAAGGTGAAAGTAAGAGATCAGTTGTTTTTTTCAACACTGACCATGTCAGATACATCAGGAACAGGGGACCCCAAAACCAGCCCGATATACCAACCAACTAATTTACTTTGATATTGTGTTGGTTTGCACATCCCTAGTTGGCCTAAAGTCACTGACATTCTTTTTCATCTTCATTCTTCAGACCCTTCTGGACCGCTTTGACTATGATGATGAGCCAGAAGCGGGTGAGGAGGCAAAGAAGGATGAAACGCCGTCTGTCCAACCTGCTATGTAAGTAGCATCTCCTTTACCATATTTTGAACGCTGATATACAGTATATCACAGGGCTCGACAATAAGGACTGCCCGATGGCCCAGGGCTAGCGTGAAAGACGTTCGGGACAGTAGACGGATTTGTCACTTGCCCAATTGGGCCACTGCAGCGTCGTCACGAAATTTGATCATTTGCATGTATTTTTAAGACTTGTTAATTAAAAAATTCAAGCGATTAAAAAGCATTTAGGCGCGAAAGACAACTCCTTTCAGTACTCACTCGCTGTGTTCTGTGTGAACAGCGCGCGCACAGACAGCCGCGTATGTCAAAATACCCGTCCTGGCAAGTAATTTTGTAGCTTTAACAATGATTAATCTAAATTGAATTTATACACTGGAGTACAGATGTCAGACATTTTTTGTTTTATTTCAGACTATCTTCTATTCCGTGCTTGCACACAAACTGCACTGCAATTATTTTCCCAATGGCCATTTGTGTGGAAATATTACTATTATAATTAGTCTGTATACGGTCATTAACAGAGGCCAGAGATGCTGAAGACGGACACAAAGAGGAAAAAATAGCTACTGTAGCAGACAGAAAAAGATCACTGTTCACGATGCACGAAATATAGGAAGAAAATCCAAATACTGAATTTTATATGAATGTTTCTGAGGGGAACTGACTGTTTTCAGAAATGTCTTTTCAATGTGTTTTCATTTTGTCTCTGTATAATGCATTTAAATTAGTGTTAATAAGTGCAGGCTGCTGTGTTTACAGCGGTAACCAAGGAAACGCTGTATTACTGTACCATAAGCGCCGCCTGCTGTCAGAGAGTGAATCTGCGTCTCATTCAGCCCGTCTGCTGTTTCTGTTTCATACCGATGTTTTCTGTAGTATGATTTCACAAAGCTAAAGTCAGGTCATTCTGTTTTTGCTTCAGATTTTGATATTATACAGTCTAATATAAATCAAAAATTGCACATGATTTTTTTTTTTTTTTCAATTCATGATTAAAATGCAGTGGTTGCCTCTAATTTCAAATGGCTATGAAAAATCAAGGTGCAACACAGAGTGAAGAATATGCAAATGTTATTTTATGTGATTTTTCAATTTCTGTACCTGAACATCTACAAACATAAAAACCTAAAGCATAATTTCATTTCTATCTTTGTGCTATAGGCCTATATTTAATTGTGCTATTACTTGTACTTTGTTCATTTGTTATTATTTACTGGCTGTCACTTGTCTTTAATAATGTTTAAACTTTATATTTATGTTTATTTTTGGCAAGTGATTTTTGCTGTGGTATCGAAATTGAAATAGAGAATTGTAAAATTTAATTGGTATCTAAAATATTGGTGTCATATAAGCTTATTTATTAGAATACAAGATAACAGATCAAAAACAATGATAACAGCAACTATTTTACTTTTTTGTGGTAGGGCCAGTGAAAATGTTGGTAGGGCAAGTAAAATTTTTTACCACTGGCCCGATCGTCTGACCGAAATAATCCTTAGCGTTGATCCCTGTATCACCTGCTGAGCTTGTGCAGAATTTTCAGTGTGTTATTTCTTCGCAGAGGATTTCATGAGCAGACCGTCCCAGGATTTCCTCCAGCCAATCAGATGCAGCACTTTCAACAACATATGATGGCTGTATCACAGCGGCAACAGGTAGATTACTACAGTGCTCTTATATGGAGACATTTTGGACTGACATCTGATTTTAATGACATTTTCCTGTAATTTAAAGGGGTCCTATTATGCTTTTTCACTTTTTCAACTTTAGTTAGTCTGTAATGTTGCTGTTTGAGCATAAAAATTATCTGCAAAGTTAGAAAAATCAAAGTCCACCTCAAAAGGAGATATTTTATTTAACAGAAATCACTTTTCAAAAACTACAACGAACGACTCGTTTGGACTACAACGCATATTTTCCGGGATTTGTGATATCACAAATATCGACGAATGGGATGAGACCTGGTTGAGCTGCACTAGAGAAGGCAACGAGTGTTATCACTATGTCGGAGACACGCTAGCTTTCCCAAGGCAGACGAACTTAGAGTGGTTACAATCATCCGGGTTTAAATCGTGCTCAAATTGATTTGATTTTGACGCAATATTTACACTGAAGCTCGCAGGCAGCTATGGTAAGGGGCATGACATTTCCCGACCAGGCGCCAAGTGCTGCCAATCACAGCACACACTAGCCCAGCTAACCAATCACAGCACATTTCGTATTTCAGAAGGCGGGCCTTCATTTGATACAGGAACTATTCGAGCCGTTCATGCCAGACTGGGGAGAGAGGTGTTGTAATAATGTAAAATATGTGAAAAATAATGTGTTTTTCGAACAACCTAGTATGAGAGCCTGTTCTAGTACACCCCCAAAACAAAATCAAGACTTTGTAAAAGAGCATAATAGGACCCCTTTAATAAATCGACAGTCACGTTTTGGTTTTTATTGTTGTTGTATGCTCAGGTTGTTCTACCTTCAAATGGACAGGTCCGAGGCTTTGGTCTTATGACCTCTCAGCCCTATCCAGACATGATGCCTCAGATGGGGCAGCCACATGCAGCTTATCCGCCTCAGAATGACACCTTCAGTCAACACATGGCTGGACATCAGCATCCGGTAAAATCATTTTGGAAATGAACAATTAACTGATTCTTAACTGTTAAGCTGCTGTAGAATTTAATACTAATCTCTGACAACTTGTGGCACAGGAAATGATGAATTCAGATGCATCGGCTAGGCCTTACCCCGATGGCAGGAGGTCACGTTCAGGGTCGAGGTGCGTACAACAAACCACTGTCCTTATGAACAACAACACTAGTCCTCGTGACAAGGTTAAATGTTGTTGTTGTTTTTGTTTTTGTTTCAGATCTCCTAAAAGAAGAAGGTCTCGGTCCAATTCCCGTACCAGACGAATGCGGCATCGGCGGTCGCGCTCTCGTTCTCGAGAACGACGGCGTCAGTCACCTTGCTCGCGGTCTCAGGAAAGAAGAGAAAGAGAAAAGGAAAGAGAACGAAGACAAAAAGGCCTTCCTCCTATAAAGAATAACACTCTCAGTGGTAAGCAAGGCCACTTTCACTACTGTGACCACTAGTCAAGTCGATGCAGTCGGATTATGCTTAATTGCCCACTGTAAAGTACGCATAACACAGTATTAACCTTCTTCCTGATGCCAGTGTGGAATTGTGTATCTCTCTCTTTCAGTGTGCAGTACTACTCTATGGGTGGGACAGCTGGATAAAAGGACACAGCAGCAGGACGTGGCCTGTTTACTAGAGGAGTTTGGGCAGATAGATTCAATTAATGTATGTTCTTGAGAATTAGGGGAACATAAGATGATGTTGGATTTTTGCGCTGAAGTCTCATTTGATCTTGTCTGATTTTGATAGATGATTCCTCCTCGTGGTTGTGCCTACATTGTCATGATTCATCGTCAGGATGCCTATCGAGCCCTGCAGAAACTAAGCAGAGGTCCATACAAAGTCAACCAGAAAGCCATGAAGGTATCAGATGATTATTTTAGCACAGACTGATAAAAATAAAACCACATAAAAAGAAATTAAAAACTTTGTAAATGTTTTTAAAAGAAGTCATATGGTAATCAAGACAGTAAAACAGTATTATTGTGAAATAATATCACAAATTAAAATGACTGTTTTCTATTTAAATAGTTTTTAAAATGTAATTTATTCCTGTGACGTCAAAGCTGAATTTTTGTCTGTCACATGATCCTTCAGAAATCAATCTAATATGCTGATTTGCTGCTTAATTTGGTAATTTAGTGTTCTGATTTTATTATTATCAGTTTTATAATCAGTTGTGCTGCTTAATATTCTTTGTATGTTTTTCAGGGATCTTTGATAAATAGAAAATTCAAAACAACGTAAATAGACCTTATAAATACCTTATCTTTACCGTCATACAGTATTAATATCTTTTAAAAATCTTAATGACTTAAATCTTTTGAACAGTATTATTGGTATTTTTTCACAATTATTATATAACTGTATTTTCCAGATTGCCTGGGCTTTGAATAAGGGCATCAAGGCTGAATTCAAGCAGTATTGGGATGTGGAGTTGGGTGTATCCTATATACCATGGTCCAAAGTAAAGATGGAGGACCTCGATGTGTTTAGAGAAGGAGGGATGCTGGACCCTGATACTCTTGCACCAGGTAACTATTGCAACCAGTTGTTAATAATTTGTCTAGGCATTGAGCTCACATTGTAACTTATTGTTTGCATGTTCCTGCACAGAATGGAGAAGCTCTCAGATTGAGCTGGAGAAGGCTGAAGAGTCTCAGAACGGCAGGCCTGAGGTGGGAAAAGTGGAGGAGAGCCCGACTATAGTACCTATGCAGGTAACTCATATTGCCCTGGTTCCTCTTCCTAAAGTTTTTAGATTTGGTCCTATTTATTCATTTTTCCTTCTTTTGTTCTTCTTCAGGTTCCTCCTGTCCAGCCAATGGGAGCAGTCAGTGTCCCACCTCCAGGATTCCCAGGACCCCTGAACATCCCACCCCCCTCTTTCCCACCTGGGGTTCCCCCACCCCCAGGTCCCTTCATACGGCCAGGCTTTAACCCCATGCAGATGCCACCAGGTACAGAAATACTAATGACACAATGTTATTAAGCGTGTTATCAGGAGGATAGATGTTTTGTTTTCAGAGAAGTATTGTACCAGTTACTAACACATTATTCTTTGTTTCAGGATTTCTCCCCCCGGGTGCCATGCCGCCTCTGGGCGCCACTGGGCCTCCTCCACCTGCAGCAGGTATCGGCATGCCTCCAGGTGGGCAGACTTTATTGTATAAACCCTACCTAATTTTGTTTTTATAGGCTTGACCAGTAAACCAGTGTTCAGTTTCTTCAAATTTCCCATCTGACCTGATTTTTTTCTGCTGTAGTTGGCAGCTCAGTTGAAGACCTGTCGAACGATCCAGCAGGTATGGGCCCAAGAATCAACAGCGATGGAACAGAGGGATTCAACTCAGGTGTGTATTTGTGTCTGTGTCTCATTAATCACAAAATATTATGAAATATATATTTAATATAGTCATGCTGTTTTTTTTATTCATGTGTCTTTGTGAAGTCATTTCATTGTTATATCATTAACTCCGCAGGAAACCAGGTGCCTCCTGGAGGTCCACCAGGGATGGGCATGCAGTCTCCACCAGGTCTTCTAGGTTCAAGGCCGGGAATGATGCCTCTCCAGCGGCCCCCAGGGATGCCGCTCCCACACATGCAGCGCTTCCCCATTCCACCTCCTCGACCTGGCATGCCACCCATCCCACCACAGATGATGCCACCCAGGGGTCCACCTCAGATGATGCACCGCGAGCCACCACCCGGGGGCTTCGGCATGCCGCCCCCTCCTCATGGCTTCAGGGGCCCTTTCCCCCCTCCCGGACCTCCCTTCATGAGGCCGAGCGGACCCAGACCAGACGGGCCAAATGATCACGAGGCGAGGCCGTTCAGAGGCGAGCGCCCTGGTTTAGGGCGGGGCAGAGATCGAGTACAGGACTGGTACGTTGGGCGGCGCCCTTTTGGCGAGGGTCGTGGCGGTGAGAGGCCGGATGGTCGTGTGCGATTTGGAGGCTGGCACGAGGAGCCGGAAAAACGAGGCGGATGGGACCGAGAGAGGGAACGCAGGGACTGGAGGAGAAGTCCGGATGGAGAGAGGGATCGGGATAGAGGACGGGACGGTGAAGAACGGACGAGGCGCTCTGCAGGAAGCAGAGAGAGGAGCACACGCTGGGATCGAGATGATAGACTCGATCGACTGGGTCTCACCAGCATGGAACCCAATGAGAGACTTGCAGCAAATACCAACAAGCCCAGTGCAAACACTACTAAAGAACTTCCTGAAGACAAGCCCGATGTTCCAGCACCTTCCACCGCAGCCACAGCAGAGTCTAAAGCCTCAGAACCTATAGCAGAGAACAAAACTGCCGAACAAACACATACGGAAGAGTCATAGAGGCCTCTTTATATGTCAAGACCATATGAGCTTCTCACATGTCAGTGCTAATCTTGAATACTGCTGGCTAGAACTCAAAGTCTAATGTTGTGGGTTGCTTTATGCATATGATGCTTGGTTCCTCATCCCAAACCAAGTTTTTCAGACTTTATAAAGCATCTTTCGGCAAACGTGGAGCGTTGCCTTGTGAATTTATTGTCCCACCTCAGTAAAGCTTGAATGTTGTATTAAGACTGAAGATAAGGAAAAGAAACAATTAATGATTCTGCTGTAAATATGCTAACATTACTCGAATGATGTTTGTAGATTTTGACTGGCCGTTTTTGGTTTTTACTTTACAATGATATCCCTGTTTAGTTTTAGTAATGGAAACATTGACTAAAATAAGATATTAAGACCCTTTTGCTGTAATGTTTTCTAACTTAATGTTTACAACATACAAAAAAAAA